ATACTTATGGGACGATAGTTATCAATTTTAGAGACATCACCTTTTTTGTTGATAATACTTTAGAGTATTTAAGTACTTCAGGAAATATACCAGTGGATAAAATTAAATTAATCAGTTCAGTAAACGGTTTTATTATAATATTGCAAGTCTCTTATCAAATTTTACTATTGAGTTCGTGAGTGTCAACACATTTAGAATTTTTTAGAGAAGTAATTGCGTTAAAACCTTCAGACTCAAGAACAGGGCGGAAGAAAAATGAGCTACAGGGCATAGGAAAATGTTTAAAACTCAGAAGTTCGGCATTCGAAATATTAGGAAGAGATCTTATGATATTTGCAGCAGTTGTATTAAAAAATGTATTTATTTCGTTTGGTATTAAATCAGGAGTTACTATATTTCTTTTTAAATTGTTTCTTTCAAAATTGATTATTTGCCAACATGCCTTGGCTTTATTGTCTGCTCGAGTAATATATTCATCATAGGCCAGTTTTTTTGTTGATTTCAATTTTTCATTGTACTCGCTTTTGAGTTTCTTATATGTTTTTATGTCATTTGGATCTCTTGTAACGTCTTTAATAGTTTGATGGTTGAGAGATCGTTTCTTAGAGATTTTAGACTGTTGTTAAACCATAATACTGGTGAATTTATTAAATTATTCTTACATTGTCTCAAGGTAAAATATTTCATACTTAAGATATAGTAGGTATTGATAAGAAAAGTTGACAAAAAAATTACATCATTACCTTTATTATAAAAAATACTCCAATCTATACTACTTAGAATCTGGCGTAGTTAAAGAACATTTTAGTTGCAAAATGTTTTTTCGGGAAATCTCATATTACCCTCTTTTTGTTGAATGTATGACCAACATTTTTCTGAATTAGTAATGATACTATTTTTAACAGATTTTCTTGTACTTAGGCTTTAATTATACTCCTCAGGCTGGAAAACTCGTCATAGTAATATTGAGATTTAATTTTTTTAAACCGTTTGTAATAAAATTCTCTTATATTAATATTTTAAATTATGTTTAAAATATACCAGAAGGGGTATTTGCGATTATGTTTTTTTATATTTTGGAACAGACATGTCTAAAATATAGTAAGAATTCACATATTTTATTTACATCCTCAGTATTATCTAAAAATCATCAATTCACATAAGATGCATTTTAGAGACCAGGAAAATAAGCTTATATGAAATTATACATTTTGGAATCAGAATTGTGAGCAAAATTGATAAAGCTGGATGACTCAATATTCAGTGTTATCCTTTAGGACATAAATAATAAACAATATTAGTAGTTTCAGCCACAAGATAAATCCCTACATTAGTCAGTATTGATTTTAACATCTGAAATACAATTTAAGATTTTTTACTTTAACTACCATTCTGTTTCCTATGGCAGAAGAAACACTTAAAGCAGATGCACTGCCTCTGGATCTTTTAATCAATGAGCTTTTTAGATTAAATAGCTTTGGTCTGTTTTCTCAATGGATATTTGATCTCTGAAATAAAAGGTTGTTTAGTCCAATATTCCACGCAAAATATTTAAAATATTAATACTTAACCAAATTAGAAAATGCTACGGGATACGCATGAGTGCAAATTCAGGAAAGAGATTAAAATATGTCATGTCGATATTCGTTTGTTGTTAAAGTTGCCGCTCTTGAAATGGTCATAATTTGTTGTATCTAAAAGCTAGCAATAAAAGTAAAATACAGTTATTACAAGTATGTTAATATGGTCTTTCAAACTAATTCCATCAAACCAACAGGTGATGTGTCATTTTCTACATAATTATGGTCCTGATCATTTTGTGTCTGGTCAAGTAGTATAACATTGTCTTAATTTTCTTTAGTCATTTCACTGACATACAAAAAATTACCTGAATCGCTCATGGATTTCAAAACCATATATATTGAGTTATAAAACTTCTCATAATTTTAAGTCAAAATAACGATAGAACTTCTGGATGGCCTTTGACAGTTTTCAGTTTACTCAAACGCGGAAGGTTTTTTGACATTTTACCTGTTTACTTAAAATCTACATTAATATAAGAAAATTAAGCAAATATGTTACAATTTTTGATCGTAAAAGGGAAAGCTTCCAGTGATGTCTTGATGCCAGGTTCTAGCAAATCTTCTATTAACTCTTTTTTGATGATGTATGATGCGTTTGTTTCATGACGTCATAGCTTGGTGTTATTTCTTACAAAATAAATCATTAAATGACCCTAAAGTGTCTGGTTACCTACGTACTAAGGTGCAACCACTGTCGATCTTAGCAATTTTAAATAAAATCTTTGGATTATATTCAGTTACGCTGGTTTCGCACATCCCCACAGATAAAGTCCGTTAGCGCACTTGTGTTATAAGAGATAACTAGGGAGTAGTTTAGATTTGTCAGTCCGCATCTAATTCTGACTTGCTATCTCAATCTTGTCGAACTATATATTAATAAAATAGAGGTACATTTATTTCGGCAAGGTAACAGTAGGTTTAAATAAACAACTTCTAATTCATTGGTTGCAAAATTAAAAAATATTTCTGTTTTTAATAAATATTTTTAAATATTTATTCTAACTCAAACTATTTTCCTTATAATTCTTATAGGCATTGGTAATAGAAAATTTACAGATTTTTGAAATGATAATATTCTCCATTAGTTTTAATCTACACATACTAATTTTTTTTTCTCCTAGGCTCGTCTGACTGTCTCCGAATAACACTGAAGCCTATTAGCTTATTGTGTTTTACCCCATGTTAGTTCACAGCACCCACTGTGTCAACTTTGTACCTTATACAAATTTGTACAGATCCTTGGGTTGTCCAAAAAGAGCCTCTCTTTTCTGATCGCACAATATGTGTTTGGCCGTTTCTGGTTTCTTGTGACATAGTCGGCACATGAGTTCCCCATTGTACATGCCAATTTTGTTCAAGTGTCCCTTCACTGAAGAGTCCCAATCATAAACCCTGTTATTACTTTCAACTGGTTCCTATTCATAAAGAGTAGTTCTCTAGTTATTTTGGGACATGGTCTGCCTATGAAGGCTTTTTCATAAGCCTATTTTAGGATGCTTCCCCAATAGTTAGTATGTTATTCCCGAATCCAGTCGTTTATGAAACCCCGAACTGTACTTTTTGATATTCCTGGGTTTGTGTCTGATTCCGGTGTTTCTTCTGACCTTCTCTTTGCAAGTTTGTCAGCCTTTTCGTTGCCTTCGATCCCATGGTGACCTGGCACCCAAAATAGTTTTACTCTATTTCGGTCTACGATGCATTCCCATACCAGCCTCGACGTAACTGTCTGACTCGATATGGTCTTAAGTGCCGCTTGGCTGTCTGACATTATTTGAATATGCTGATTTTTGACAGCTCTTTCATTGTTCGTTTTTGCACATTGCAAAATTGCGTATACCTCGGCCTAAAATATCGAGGAATGTATTCGTATAGCATACATATGGTTAGCATTAGGGTTTTTAGAGAATACCCCCACCTCAGTGCCTTCTGCAGTCTTAGAATGGTAATCTCCGCTCTTTCCTGTATTAAAACCTCAAATGGAGTATTAAAAGAGTACCTCTTGGTTATGTGGTCTGATCTTATGTCTAGCACGTCTACTGTCACTAACCTTGAGAAATACTCATAAGAGCTGGCCTAATGTCAAGATTTCCCAGTGTATTCCCTAATCTGTAAGCACCTAATCTTGCCTCCTTTTGTATCACATAGTGAAGAGGTGGGAGTCCTATTAGTGCTTCTATTGCAGCTGTGGGGGTTGTTTTCATTGGCCCCGTTATTCCGAGGCAGGCAAGTCTTTGTACCTTGCTTAGCCTAGAGTATTGAGTTCCTTTGCTGTGTCTTTGGCCACTACACTAAAGCTTTGTGTTATATTATTAGTCTCACCGCCATGTTATGAAGCCAATATACTATGTCCGGTTTTAACCCTCATTTTTTCCAAAGGATCGTCTTGCCATCATTAACAAGGTTTCTGCTCTCCTTGTGGTATTTTCTAGATGCTGGTTTCAGGTAAGTCCCGAGTCAATCATAATCCCCAGATATTTTACCTCGCCCTTAAGCTGGATGCTTGCACCTCTCAGGTTTAGAGGTCCTAGTCCCTCCAATTTCCTCCTGCGGCTGAATGCAATTATGTCAGATTTGTTTGGGCTAATGTTAATTCCTTCCGCCTCTGTCCATTTTGTTACTATATTTAGAGCCTCTTGCATTTGATCTCTTACTACAGTGTCATATTTTGCCTGTGCCTTGATCACTAGATTATCGGCATATCCCAGGGTTCTATATCCCTTATCTTTGAGAGCCCTAAGCAGCCCGTCCACTACAATGTTCCGCAGGAGTGCTTACATTAAATATCATTTTAAGAAAACTTAAAAGTTAACACTTAAGTTGTTCGATAATTTCACAAATATTTAATAACAACTGATATGACTCAAACAGAATCACTATACTGAATAAAATTACCAATTGTTACACTTATCTGATCATTAAAAACGTCAAAACTTAATATGTGACACTTTTGAGATATGCCATTTTTATTGAAATAAGATTATACTTCCTTAAGCGTGTTTACAGCACTGATGCTATCTCTTAGCAATGCTATAAAATTTGCTCATTGTGCTTTTCCATATCGTCGCCCTAATAAGAAAAATTCCTATCTATGTTTTGGAAAATTTTACAGAAGAGAAGAAAAACGTTATTTTTTAACAAATACATTATTACTGTTCTTCACACTTAACACATATGTAACACAAAAACAAATTATTTCCACGCGTTACTCTTCTAAACAAAAGTACTAGGCAAATGTGTCTTTGGCGACTGTCAAATCGGAAATCTGAAAATTTCTATTATTTTAATTTAAAATTAACCGGTTTAGTGGACACTTTTCTTATTAGAGCGACGATATATAGTTTTGGATTATGTCACTTTTCTCGAAAAACATCTATATATTCTTCTAACTTTCTAAAATTTCCTTTTTTTCTGTTTCAGGCTCAGCTAGAGGCGGAGGAGGAGGAGGCGGCGGCGGAGGCAAAGGAGGCGGTGGCGGAGGTGGAGGAATGGGCGGAGTTATGATGATGGGTATGATGATGGGCAAGCTCCTAGCCGCTCTGGGTATAGGAGGTGTCGGTCTCCTAGCCATGAAAGCTCTTATGGTTTCAGCATTAGCACTGATGCTCTCAGTCATTCTGGGTCTAAAAAAACTAGTCCATTCCGACCACGAAGAAGGTCATACCGTCATACATGCTGGTCACGGTCATGAGTACAACAGAAAGAAGAGAGAAGCTAGCAATATGGCGTACCAAGCTTGGCAAGATTTAAAGAAAAATTAATAAGTATTTCGGAACAACGCAGATTATTTCTTTCTTGCAGAGTAAGATTGCACAAGAGTGTTGATTTTTTAAAGATAATTAGCACCACCTATCACAGTTTCAATTAGTTTAATTTGGTATGTTCGGTTCAAATTTTTGTTGACCAAATAGTATTGAAGAATGAGGTTTGAAATCAAATAATTTTGTGGTTTCTTAATATGAAGGTGTGCAATTTGAGAATACTCAAAACTGAGAGATATAGTCCTGCTTTTTTGAATGATTAGATGGAGTACGATTATTTTTGTACGCTAGAGCTCAAGTTATTAATTTTATTATTGTTGTAAGTTAATTTATTGTTTATTTATTTTGTTATTAATTTTTTACCATTGGACTAATTATATTGTTGGACGTCTTGACCGACTGTGGACTTTACTTTAGATACTTGATTGACTGTTTACTTTACCAGACAAACTTATTTTTACTTTAACTACCACGAAACTACAAGAATCATACTAATAACATTATTTTTTGTACTTACGTCATCATTTTTTTACTTCTTTTATAATTTTCTATACTTTTATCATCATTTTCTATACTTGAATCATTTTCTATACTAGTATCATCATTTTCTGTACTTTTATCATAATTTTCTATACTTCAATCATTTTCTATACTAGTATCATCATTTTATATACTTGCATCAACATTTTCTATACTTGGATCATCATTTTCTATACTTGTATTACCATTTTCTTCTTGTAAATATCTTTCGTTGTTCTTATAATTTTTAACTAAACTACATCAACTGACTACATCATCATCTTCTGAATATAATCATTAAAACTTTAATTTTTCATATAATTTTCTGGTTACGTACTCAAATTTTTGGCATATTGTCAAACAATGCGTAGCTACTCTATTCTTATTTTTTCTTAAACTCATACTCAGGTTATATTTAAAAAAATGTGTATTTTATTGCCAAATTAGATATTGGAATGTTTTGGAATTTAAAATAAACAAAAACTTAGTCAAATCAAATGATTTTTATTAATATATTTTTTAATTTACCTATATAATTTATTTCATCGTTGCCAACACAGGAGGTAAAAATCGTACAAAGAAAGAAATACTACGGTGAGTAAAATATATATATATATAAAAAAATTATTCAATATCATAAATACCAAAATTATAATCAAGGGTAATATAACGAGACCTTAATAAATAGTCGACTATTTTTATTGTATCTAAATTTTGAGTGTTTTTGGTACCAATTGGTCGAGACCTAATTTTGTCATTAATAATCTGAATAAAGTCCAAGAGCTTTAACTCGAGGACTTTATTCTTTGATGATTAATGACAAAATTGTCAAAACAAATTGCAAAATACACGAAAAATTTAGTAACAATAAAAATAGGCGCTAATTTATTAAGGTCGAGATATATTTAGTAAGATTATTTCTAGAGCCCTAGTTGTAACAAAAAAAAAAAAAAAAATAATACACATGAAAATAACTTTTATTTCATAATTTAGAAAAAATTAGTTAAAGTTTAAAAGAACAATTATTGTAAGTGACATTTCCAGTTTGCATAATTTGGGACACTCGTGACGAAGTAGTGGTATTCATGGTAGCAGCAGAAACTTAACTTTCTTCTACCGGATTAAAATCAGTATTCACAGAAGTGAAAGCTTGACTTTCTGCATGTCCTCTAAGTTGGTTAATAACACTTTGATGATGCTGGTCATCCATCTGTAAGTATGGTTGAATAGATGATGAACTAGAATGCCCAGTTATTTTAATCAATTGTTGCTCCGGTTTTTGCAAGTTAAGAGACTACTGTCGAGCGACAAGAATGGTTAGTAATCTTTAAACGCATGCTGTCTAATCCAATAGACTCCGCACCCAATTTGGTTCATTTAGAAAACTCATACTTTCCAATAGGTAAATTTTTGTACCAGAAAGAGTTAATATTTTGCCAAAATGAATTTAAAATTAGAAATAAACGTGAACATGGGCAGTATTGCGGATTTTGAGTATTTGGAATCAACCACTTACTATCTGCACATTTTTCGTCTCCTCCTTGGCAAATTTTCGTATAAATAGGAACATATTCTAACCTGCCTGTTTCTTTACCATCTTCAGAGGTTTCAAATTTAAAATATTCTGTTAAGCATGTTGCGCCTTCCCCATCGCGCCAAGCTAATTCCACGGAAGCCAAATAGAAAATCTTTTGGAGACCGTCTGGAGTTTGTTCATCCAATTTGTCAATTATATCGCGTATATGTTTTAAACTTGAAAAACTTTTTCTTTTCTCTAAAAATTTCTGCAATTGCCGTCTTTTTGCATTTCGTGCATCGCGAGCACTTTTAAATTCAATACCTTGAAATGGATCTATCTTTATATTAAATTTTTTAAGATATATTTCTTGTAACGTCTTAGCAGTTGAGTTTAACATACACTTTAAAGAACACTCTTTGTAGTCACTTCAGTCTTCTTTTTTCATGTTTTAAGCCCAATCTTTTAAGATATTACATAGTTCAGCAACAGTTTTATCATTTGATAAAACATATTTGCGCTGAACGCAAAATTTGATAAACTGATTCCACACACTATTTTTACTTCTGATTGTATTCTTTGGGGTACTATTGTCTATAAAACTGACTATTTTTTCGCTATTAACACACCCAAATGGGTTCATTTTAAACGTTTCACTAATATATTAATTTTTAGTCTGACACTTAATATTATTTAACAGTAACCACTTTTAATATTACACCTACAATCAAGTATGCGAGTTGCTATCAACATAGGTGAATATTGAGCACCATGCATGGATAGTCGATTTCAAATAGTAAAATCGATTTACTTGTTTCTGATAACGTAAATTGCGATGTGATTGGTTAAAATTTTAAATCTGACAGGCGAGGGAAATAATCAGTAATAATTGTTACAGCAATACCCTCACGTAATCAGTGAAAATAAAATGCAATGGTATTTGTGCACTCAATATATCCCACCTCCCAGTATCTAATAACACCCTTACTTCCTGGACTATTATTGTTTTTTATATAGATAATTACGGCATTTCAATATCCACATTCGATGCATTTTCAAGCATTTGTTTATCTACATCGGACACATCTACTACATCCTCAGCTGCGTTTGTTTATCCAAGATGTAGCTGTCCAAAAGTCAAACGCAAAAAGTATAAACTTCTAACTTGTATTTGTCATTTTTATTACTACTGGGGCATTTGTTGATTACATCTACATTTAAATTACGTAACAAAAAAATTCACACAATCTCAGATGCATCCGATGTAGATATTCAAACGCAGCATATGAAAATAAGATTAATTTTGTTTTAAAATATGATATAGTCCCTATAATCTATATTTATAATAGGCGTTTGGAATACAATAACTTTTAAAGAGAAAATAAAACAGGGTTGGAAAAGCATTAACTAAAATCAACAATTTTATTTGTAGAACCAATTATTTTCGTAAAAATATTACAGACATTTATTAACAAACATCACTATTTTGCACACCTATGATTAAATTTAGTTGTAATAAATATCGTTAAACCAAATACTTGATGATATCGACTTTGTTAACATCCTGTATATGCACGGATTACGAAATTGCGGAAAAAGTATAGTTTTTTGAAAAACTTTAAAACCAAAGAGCATGAAGGAATGGAGCGAAAAATCAATCATGTTTAAAACCCACACGGGAACAACCCTATTATTTGTTATTTTCAGAAAGACAACGACAATAAGTAACATGGAAACAACTAAATAATATACCTACACAATTCCAACCTAAATAAACGGCCAAATAATGCCTCTAGGGCAAAGCTTGGGTCACCGTCTTCAAAGAATAAACAATCCAGGAATATATCCGGTTAATCTTTGGCTAAATTCACCGGTGGAAAGTCAGTTGGAAATGATTGGTGAACTCATATTGTATAATATATTCTTGTAGAAGCAAATTGTTTGATTTTTTGTAAAAAAATACGGACGGTTCTAAAATCACAAAAGGAACTGGAATAGAATCAATTACTCTAAGAGTTTTGATAAAAATGCAAACATCTTCTAGACAGAAATTCAATGAATTGTTAAATTTACCATCAATCAAAACTGTTGCAAAAAGAGCTCTTACGTAGACAGCTAAAAATGATCTGGGATGCCTAAAGAAAACTAAATAAGATAGACAAAGCAAATATAGTTAGTCTCACTTGTCACCCTATTTTTTCACTGCATTTACTTCCCACCTTTAGGAGACTATAACAGACCATCCTGGCTTCCCTTTCCAGTCAAATGCAAAGAGGGGTTAGATCCAGCATGGTCTTTATGGCTTCCGTCGGTATGAGTAACATTGACCCAGTGATGGCGAGGTACACAAGCTGCTGGATTTAAGTCAGCTTTGCTCTGGTCGATGAAGTTCCTTGTTCCACCAACCGATGTATCTATGGGTTTTACTATGACAACTGACAACTGATCTCCCATGCTTTGCCGCATATTTTTGTATAAAGCCCAGATGGATAATCTGGCGTTGTTGACAGCTTTTTCCAATCAGGGGTTCCAGTTGTGTTTCTTATTCCCCAGATATTTTACCAAGTTGTCGAAACTTATTGACTTTTTCTCTCTTGGTAAAGAAGATTTCTGTGGGTAAACAAGTAGCTGTTCTCTGTCGATCATGTTTAGGGCTTGTTAAAGAATGTTGGAGATCACTTCTTCATACTTACCTCTAATCATGATAACCAAATCATCCACATACCTTTGTTAATCTACCACCTACCAAAAAAGCTCCTAGAAGGTTATCCACCAGAATAACCCATCACAGTAGGGTTAAAAGAACGTCGTTTTTTGGGAATCCTCTGGTAGGCTTAAAAGTGATTCTCTTTCTGCAGTGATAATTTCCAAGCATGTTCTTGATTTAGTTTTACGTCAGTTTGTCAATTCCTCTTCTTTCAATACAAGCGAACAGACATTGAGGAAGGAAGTTATTAAACACTCC